GACGACGACGACGACGACCACGACGACGACGACGGCTGCGGCGGCGACGACGCCGGCGGCGGCGGCGGCGACGACGACGATGACGACGATGACGACGGCGACGACGACGACCATGACGACGACGACGACGACGACGACGACGCCTAGGACGACGAGGACAACGAGGACGAGGGCGACGACGACGACGACGACGACGACCTCTGAACCACCACAACACCACACAACATCCACAGGGGGGGGGGAGGGGGGCACCGCAGCGCAGCACCACGCCACCCCCACCTCTGAACCACCACAGCAGCACACCACATCCAGGGGGGGGAAGGGGGCACCGCAGCGCAGCACCACGCCACGCCCACAGGGGGGGCGGGGGGGACCATCGCGCGGGGGGGGCCCAATGGCATCAGCATTGGGGGGGGGGGCCCAAGCCCTGGAACATACATCGTCGATAGATCGGCGATATACCCCGATAGTGAATCCGCACCTTCCTGGGCAGGGTGGTGCTATCGGGTCTCTATCGGCGATCAATGGGCGATTCGGGGTCGATGCATCCCCCCTATGCCTATCCCCCCCGATCGTTGCCCTCGATGACCAGGGCGCGCCCCTGGAGAAGTCCGGGCAGAAGCGATGCATCGGTGGCTTCTGTCCTCCACCACGGCTGGGGCACGCTCTCTCCGTCAACCCTGCCCAGCAGGCCCCCGAAAAAAGCAAAGCGAGGGAAGGGTAGCGGTGTCAGTAGATGTTCCTCCTCTGACCTTTGAGCAAGGACCGACCGTCCCAGCATTCCTGTTGGCCTACCAGGAAGTTCTGCCATAATCAGAGACTGGCAAAACCCGTGCTCTTAGAAGAACATGCAGAAATATTCTCAGAACACGTCATGCAAACCACACCATGTTCTTAGAACACTGTCTGGTGGGCCTCCAGGCAAGTCAGGGCGGCCCGCCACGGCCTGAGACCCCCCACGGAACAGCCCGCGGCCTCGAAGTACACCGACTGCCCAGCACACCACGGAGCCACCCCCAGCAGCAGGGCGGCGGCGCACGGCAGCGCAGGGCGCCGCCGCCCGCCCGCCATCGCAGCCTATCGCTCGCCCCGCCGCCGCCGCCACCGTCGACGCCGGGCCCGCGCCGCCGCCGTCGCCGTGGGCGGCATTGTCGTCATTGTCGTCGTGACCGCGGCCACGGCCGCCGCTGCCGTGGCCAGCGCCGCCGCCATCGTCGTCGTCGTCGCCGTCGCCGTCGCCGTCGTCGTCGCCGTCGTCGTCGTCGCCGTCGTGGTCGTCATCGTAGTGGTGGTAGACGTCGTCGTCGTCGTGGCAGAATCGTGGTCGTCGCCGGTGTGGCCGCCCGCCGTCGACGTCGCCCGCCGTAGCTCGTCTCTTCCTTCTCCTCCTCCTCCTCCTCGGCCTCCTCCTCCTCCTCGGCCTCCTCCTCCTCCGCCTCCGCCTCCGCCGCCGCCTCCGCCTCCGCCTCAACCTCCTCCTCCTCCTCCTCCTCCTCCTCCTCCTCCTCCTCCTCCTCCTCCTCCTCCTCCTCCTCCTCCTCCTCCTCCTCCACTGGGCGGAGCGGAGAAGGCGGGCAGCGCGCGGAGGGGAGGGGGGGCGCCTTGCAAAGGGAGGCCGGTGGGGCAGGCGGCGGTGCGGGCGGCTCCCTCCCTGAGCCGCGGGGGCGCCGGCGGCGAGTTGCTGCAGTGCGCGCAAGGGGCGCGGCCGTGCTCCCAGAACTGTGACGATCTGGCTGTTCCAATCCCTGGGGGGGAGAAACTGTGCACAGGCACAGATCCTCGCCAGGCGCATCCTCGGCCCAGGAGCGGTGCCTGCGCCCTCCTGGCTTGGCCAGGGAGACACATATGCGCCGATCATGGGCCCAAGATTGGCGTGGCCAGCACCGGTGCAAGTGCATAGTTCTCGTCGCCCGAAATCCCCGCCAGATGAATGGATCTCGCAAGCAATCCGCCGCCTCAAGCGGGGCGCGTTCAGAGGAGGAGCACAGCAGAGCCGCAGGAGAGCGCGGTATTGACAGCGGGGCTCCGCGCACGCCAAGCTAACAAGAACACAGCACTGCCCCAGGCCAGCGAAGCATTGACAATGTAGCTCAGCATCAACGCTCTGGCTGGGGAACCGCGTGTCCTCGATCTCGGCGTCGGGGGCCCGTAATCAGACCCCAGGGCCATCCAGAAGGAATCCAGGGCACAAAACTGGCCCCGGAGCTGGGCTTGCTTGGGATCTATGGGGCCGCGGGTTGGAAAAAACATACCAGAGGATGTCTGTTTTGAGAGAGCGCAGGGGGAAGCCGTGGCCCCTCAGATTTCGAGAAGGGCGGCGCTCTTCCAAGAGGTCTGACGCGATTGCCTCGCGAAGCGTTGGAGGGAGAAAGGTACGACAATATGGCAAAGCTCTCGGAACTCGACGGATGATTTTCAGCCATTTGCGCCACTCGGGGGCCCTTCCTAACCTCAGAGCCTCAGGGCCATCACAAAACGGCTCGGGCGGAAATATCAGTCACGAAGAGGAAGTCCTGAGGGGCAACGGGGACCGGCTCAGGGGTCAAGAAACATCAAGCTTGAATCGGCGACTTATCCTCATCCTCTCATCCTTGGCCTGCCTGGAAGAAGGAGGTGGTGAAAGAATAGGGGTCTCGCCAATGTCTGGTCATTCGTCTCTTTGACAGAATTGGAACAACAAAACTCTGGCGGCTGACGACAAGACATCCGCGCGGACCCTCGAACAATTATGTTTGTGCACTTGTGTGCCTCTTCGACCGTCGCCCGCCGCTGCCCGCGCATCCGCCCGCGCCGCCGCCCGCACCACTAGCGCGTCGCCGCCCGCCACCGACCGCCGTCGCCCCCGTGCAGGCGCCTGCCCCGTCCTCCGACCTCCGATGTGATGTTCTTCCATGTGGTGTCCCCGGAGCTTGAGCAGGAGCCTACCGTCCCGGCATTCCCAAAGGCCTACCAGGCCATGTTCTCAGAGCATAAAGCGTTCTCAAAGCAAAAGCAGTCCTCTTAGAACATGAAAAGCGGATGTTTTTAACGCAGGCGGTCTCCGCCAGAAATGTTCTAAGAAGATGTCGGAAAAGCACAGAAGGGCCTAAGAACATTCTTAGTGGGCCGATAGGCAAGCTAAGACGCCCCACCACTGCTTGAGGGGCTCTGGACCACTTTCCGAGGACCAGCTTTTCGTCCCGGGTCGCCTTCCGACGGCCCCGGGGCCCGGCGAGGGCCGCCATGGGCCGAAAACGACGAACCACCTTCGTCTTGACTTGGTAGGTCTGGGTCGAGCCCAGCGCCGAGACAGGCGCTGCGCCGCCGCTGATTTGGACGCCCGAGATGGGCATGGAATAACTGGGTACGCTGCTCAACAACGTTGTCCACAACCCAGTTGGCGGCGCGCAGAGGGGGTAGGTGGAGGGGGGGAGGCCTTTTAGAAGGAGGCTGCTTCTTTGAAGGCGCCAGCCTTATGTTGCTCCCATCGTACTAACGGACCACATCCCAGAACTAATTTCCAGCACCCGGAAAAGTGCCGAAAGAGTGTCGAAACAGTGTCGAAACAGTGTCGAAACAGTGTCGGACGAGTGCCTCCCAGGGCCCGGCACGTGAAAACCCCCGAGTTTCGGTATTTTCGCTGGTGCTGGAAATTCTGTCTGGTGATCAAGGCTAAAATAGGCTGGAACATCATAACGCCAGCCCCCTGCGCCTTCTAAGAAGCAGGGGTGCTTCCAAGAAGCCCTCCCCCCTGACCCAATGCCCCCTCTGCGCGTGGCTGACCCGCAGCGGCCGCTGTTGGGCAGGCCCTCCTGCCTCGGCTGGACCGCGTGCTCGGGGCGAGGCCGACGGCCCACGCCCTGTCCAGAGTGGACAGGACCTGCTGTCGGCCTTCGTACCATTGTGGATGCCTTGACAACGGAGACCCTAACAATCCCATCATCGAATTAACAATGTGCTTAGAATGTCCTAAACATGTTGAAAACATGTGCTTTACATGTCTACGGCCTTTTTTACACCACGTTTCGAACATCTGGAAATCATTTGGCATACCCCTTCTCTCCGTACCCTTTTCGACCGTGCCTAGCCGAGACTGGCGGCGCGCCGCCGCTGACGCCACCGCCGTCTCTCTCGTGCGCGGAGCGCGCCAGAAACGACGCTGGAGGCGCCGCCGGGGGGCGGGCCTGGCGCGGAGCCAAAAAATCTGCACGGAGCGCCAGAAGCTTATGCTTAGGTCGGGCATGTCCCCCTACAGGCCCATTACGGACGAAAACTAAAATTTCACTGCGTGGAGCTCTCCATATGTGCATCTATTCGCATGGACCTGTCCGCCGTGAATGTATAGGCGTAAGAGCTTTCGAAAATAAACGGGCTTCAGTTGTGACGGTCTGGTCATGAATCTAACTGATAATGAATTGGAGTGTGAATGAGCCTCAGTAGTACGAGCGCGTCTCTGCGCATGAGCCTGGGGCCTCCTGGGACCTCCTGAAACCTACTGGGGCTTTCTGGGGCCTCCAGGAGCCTCTTGGGGCCTCCTGCGGCTTCCTGGGACCTCCTAGGGAGGATTCGTGCCCCAAGAGAGGCCCAGCATATAGCAACAAACGTACAGAAAACATTGCGGATTGGAGCCACAAGAGAAGGGCAATCTACAGGAACGCACGTAAAACACCAAGGACTCGTGCCCCAGGAGAGGCCCTATAGGAACATAAGTAAACAGGAGAAGGACAATCTGAAGAAACACACGTAAACCATCAAGGATTCGTGCTCCAGGTGAGGCCCATCATATATGAGCATACGTAAAACACATGGGATTGGAGCCACTCCTGTTGCCTTCTGAGGCCTCCTGCTCCTGGGGCCTCTCGGGGCCTCCTGTTGCCTTCCGAGGCCTCCTGGCGCTTCCTGTGGCCTCCTGGGGCCTCCTGTGGCTTCCTGAGGCCTCCTGGAGCTTCCTGGTGGCCTCCTGGAGCCTCTTGGGACATCCTGTGGCATCTTGGATATTTCTGTGGCCTCCTGATGCCTCCTGGGACCTCATGTCTCCTGGGGCCTCCTGGAGCCTGTTGGAGCCTCCTGTGGCATCCTGAAAAGAATATGTGCCCACGAGTCTGGCCACCAATACAAGCAAACCGATCGAGACATCCTCAACATCTGGCCCACCTGGGGGGTAAACATGAGCGCCTCGCTCGAGACATCCCCCAGATCTGCTCCGACAGCGAAGGATGCTGGGACAGAAAACAAGCAAACCGCTTGAGACATCCCCACCAAACGGCCGCGAACGGGACCGTGCAACAACCCTCGGCCTTCCCTCAGGGGGGTGAAAATAAGCGCCTCGCTCGAAACATCCTCCTAATCTGCTCCGAAAGCGAATGATGCTGGGACAGAAAACAAGCAAACCGCTTGAGACATCCCCACAAAACGGCCGCGAACAGGACCGTGCAACACCCCTCGACGGCTCCCCGCATGGGGGTGAGCATAAGCGCCTCGCTCGAAACATCCCCCAGATCTGCTCCGACAGCGAAAGATGTTGGGACAGAAAACAAGCAAACCGCTTGAGACATCCCCACCAAACGGCCGCGAACGGGACCGTGAGATAACCCCTCGGCGGCTCCCCTCAGGGGGAAGAAAATAAGCGCCTCGCTCGAGACATCCTCCATATCTGCTCCGACAGCGAAGGATGCTGGGACAGAAAACAAGCAAACCGCTTGAGACGTCCCCACAAAACGGCCGCGAACGGGACCGTGCAGTACCTCTCGGCGGCTCCCCTTATGGGGTGCTGAAACCAGCGCTCCGCCTGAGACATCCTCACAATATGTTGTGTGTTGAGTAAGTCAGACAACGAGAAAGTCTGAGTATGAGTAAGTCTGGGTATGAGTGAGTTCCAGCACGGGTAAGCCTGAGTACGAGTAGGTCTGGGTACGAGTAGGTCAGAGTATGAGTAAGTTGGCATGGTCAGGTCTGAGTACGAGTAAGTCTGTGTATGAGTAAGTCTGCGTATGAACAAGTCTGGGCATGAGGAGAAGGAGGAGGAGAAGCGGGAGAAGTAGAGGAAGAAGAAGGAGGAGTAGCAAGTACTGACAAGAACCCCATCGCAGGATATGGGGAACATTACTCCAAAATTAATCACTACGTGGAACTCCCCATATGTGCATCTATTCGCATGGACCTGTCCGCCGTGAATGTATAGGCGCAAGAGCTTTCGAAAATAAACGGGCTTCAGTTGTGACGGTCTGGTCATGAATCTAACTGATAATGAATTGGAGTGTGAATGAGCCTCAGTAGTACGAGCGCGTCTCTGCGCATGAGCCTGGGTCCTCCTGGGGCCTCCTGGGGCCTCCTGAAACCTACTGGGGCTGCCTGGGGCCTCCAGGAGCCTCTTGGGGCCTCCTGGGGCCTCCTGGGACCTCCTAGGCAGGATTCGTGCCCCAGGAGAGGCCCAATCTATAGAAACAAACGCACATAAAGCATTGCGGATTGGAGCCACAGGAGAAGGGGGCAATATATAGGAACACACGTAAAACACCAAGGACTCGTGCCCCAGGAGAGGCCCTATCGGAACATAAGTACACAGGAGAAGGACAATCTGAAGAAACATACGTATAACATCAAGGATTCGTGCTCCAGGTGAGGCCCAAAATATAGGAGCATACGTAAACACATGGGATTGGAGCCACTCATGTTGCCTTCTGAGGCCTCCTGCTCCTGGAGCCTCTCGGGGCCTCCTGTTGCCTTCCGAGACCTCCTGGCGCTTCCTCTGGCCTCCTGGGGCCTCCTGTGGCTTCCTGAGGCCTCCTGGAGTTTCCTTGGGCCTCGTAGAGCCTCTTGGGACATCCTGTGGCGTCTTGAGTCTTTCTGTGGCCTCCTGATGCCTCCTGGGACCTCATGTGGTCTCCTGGGGCCTCCTGGAGCCTGTTGGAGCCTCCTGTGGACACCTGGGGAGAATCTGTGCCCACGAGTCTGGCAACCGATCGAGACATCCCCAAAATCTGGCACACCTGGAGGGTGAAACTGAGCGCCTCGCTCGAGACATCCTCCAAATCTGCTCCGAAAGCGAAGGATGCGGGGACAGAAAACAGGCAAACCGCCCGAGACATCCCCACGAAACGGCCACGAACTGGACCGTGAGATAACTAACCCCTCGGCGGCTCCCCTCAGGGCGGTGAAAATGAGCGCCTCGCTCGAGACATCCTCCAAATCTGCTCCGAAAGCGAAGGATGTTGGGACAGAAAACAAGCAAACCGCTTGAGACATCCCCACCAAACGGCCGCGAACTCGACAGTGAGATAACACCTGGCGGCTCCCCTTAAGGGGGTGAAAATGAACGCCTCGCTCGAGACATCCTCCAAATCTGCTCCGGCAGCAAAGAAAGTTGGAACAGAAAACAGGCAAACCGCTTGAGACATCCCAACAAAGCGGCAGCGAACGGCACCGTGCAACACCCATCGGCGGCCGCCCGCAGAAAATAAGTGCCTCGCTCGAGACTTCCCCAAAATCTGATCCGACAGCGAAGGATGTTGGGACAGAAAACAAGCAAACCGCCCGAAACATCCCCACCAAACGGCCGCGAACGGGACCGTGAGATAACCCCTCGGCGGCCCCCCTTAAGGGGGTGAAAATGAGCGCCTCGCTCGAGACATCCTCCAAATCTGCTCCGACAGCGAAGGATATTGAGACAGAAAACCAGCGAACCGCTTGAGACATCCCTTCCAAACGGCCGCGAACGGGACCGTGAGATAACCCCTCGGCGGCTCCCCTTAGGGCGGTGAAAATGAGCGTCTCGCTCGAGGCATCCTCCATATCTGTTCTGGAAGCGAAGGATGTTGGGACAGAAAACAAGCAAACCGCTTGAGGCATCTCCACAAAACGGCCGCGAACGGGGCGGGCGTGAGTCTCAGCATGAGTAAGTCTGAATAAGGGCAGGTCTGAGTATGAGTATGTCTGAATATGAATAATTTCGTGTGTGAGTAAATTTGGGAATGAATAAATCGGACTGTGAGTCAGTTTGTGTATGAGTCAGTCTGGGTATGAGGAGGAGGGGAGAAGAAAGAAATGGGGGAGAAGTCGGCGGCGTCCAAGAAATAACAAGAACCCCATCTTAGAATATGGGAAATAATTATGGGAACAAGTCTGAGTATTACTTAGTCGGGGCATGAGTGAGTCTCAGCATGAGTAGCTCTGAGTAAGAGTAAGTCTGAGTATGGGTAGGCCTGAGTATGTGTAAATGTGTGTCTGAGTAAGTCTGGGTATGAGTAAATCTGAGTGTGAGTAAGTCTGGGTATGAGGAGGAGACGAAGGAGAAGAGGGAGAATAAGGAGTCGGAGGCGTCCAAGTAATAACAATAACCCCATTTTAGGATGTTGGGAATAACCAAATAATCAAAAAATAACCTGGCGAAAGACCCAACCATACGCAGTCGTAAATACCGCAAGTGTGAATACCATCTTCGCCCACACTCCCTATGGGGCCACGGCTCCCCGCCGGAGCCCGACATGCTCAGGACACGTTCGCGGCCGTCTTCGCGGGCGCCGACGACGACGACGACGGCGCCCCCCTGACCGAAGAGCAGAAGCAGGAGAGGGCTCTGAGAGCCATGAGGAAAGCTGCCACTGGCGCCTTCGGTGGAGCTCCTATGGGGCCACGGTCCTCGTGAGGGGTGCGCCGAAATGGCCCGAGGCCGCTATGCGAACCCTGCCGCTGGGGCCTTCGGTAGAGCTCCCGATGGGGTCACGATCCTCGTGATGGGGTGTGCCGGAATGGCCCGAGGCCGCCATGCGAACCCTGCCACTGGCGCCTTCGGTGGAGCTCCCTATGGGGTCACGATCCTCGTCAGAGGTGTGTCGAAATGGCCCGAGGCCGCCATGCGAGCCCTGCCGCTGGGGCCTTCGGTGGAGCTCGGCCACGACCCTCGTGAGGGGTGTGCCGAAATGGCCCGAGGCCGCCATGCGAGTTCCGCCACTGGGACCTTAGGTGGAGCTCCCTATGGGGCCACGAAACGTGTCGAAAATGTGCCGACATGGCCCGAGGCCGCCGTGCGAGTTCCGCCACTGGGACCTTAGGTGGAGCTCCCTATGGGGCAACGAAACGTGTGAGCGGTGTACCCAAATAGCCCGAGGCCGCCATGCGACTTCCGCCACTGGGACCTTAGGTGGAGCTCCCTATGGGGCCACGAAAAAGTGTGAGGGGTGTGCCGAAATGGCCCGAGGCCGCCATGCGAGTTCCGCCACTGGGACCTCAGGTGGAGCTCCCTATGGGGAGCTCAAAACGTGTGAGGGGTGTGCCGAAATAGCCCGAGGCCGCCATGCGAGTTCCGCCACTGGGGCCTTCGGTGGAGCTCACTGTGAGGTCGCGATCCTCGTGAGGGGTGTGACGAACTGGCCCAAGGCCGCCATGCGAGTTCCGCCACTGAAACCTTAGGTGGAGCTCCCTATGGGGCCACGAAACGTGTGGCAAGTGTGCCGCCATGGCCCGAGGCCGCCGTGCGAGTTCCGCCACTGGGGCCTTCGATGGAGCTCCCTGTGGGGCCACGAGACAGTGAGGGGTGTGTCGAAATGGCCCGAGGCCGCCATGCGAGTTCCGCCACTGGGGCGTTAGGTGGAGCTCCCTATGGGGCCACGAAACGTGTGAGGGGTGTGTCGAAATGGCCCGAGGCCGCCATGCGAGTTCCGCCACTGGGGCCTTCGGTGGAGCTCCCTATGGGGCCACGAAACGTGTGAGCGGTGTGCCGAAATAGCCCGAGGCCGCCATGCGAGTTCCGTTACTGGGACCTTAGGTGGAACTCCCTATGGGGCCACTGAACGTGTGAGGGGTGTGCCCAAATAGCCCGAGGCCGCCATGCGAGTTCCGCCACTGGGACCTTAGGTGGAACTCCCTATGAGGCCACGAACCTCGTGAGCGGTGTGCCGGAATGGCCCGAGGCCGCCATGCGAGTTCCGCCACTGGGACCTTAGGTGGAGCTCCCTATGGGGCCACGAAACGTGCGAGCGGTGTGCCGAAATGGCCCGAGGCCACTATGCGACTTCCGCCACTAGGACGTTAGGTGGAGCTCCCTATGGGGCCACGAAAAAGTGTGAGGGGTGTGCCGACATGGCCCGGGGCCGCCATGCGAGTTCCGCTACTGGGGCGTTAGGTGGAGCTCCCTATGGGGCCACGAAGCGTGTGAGAGGTGTGCCGAAATCGCCCGAGGCCGCCATGCGAGTTCGGCCACTGGGACCGTAGTTGGAGCTCCCTATGGGGCCACCAAACTCTGTACTGGGTGGGTGAAACGCAAGGAGGAGGGAGGAGGAGAGGAGGAGAACGAACGAACGAACGAACGACTCTGCAGAGGCGTGTCAGCTGATCTTGCGGTCTCTCGGGGCAATTCAAATCAAGAAAATTTCCAGGACTGGCTCGCTTCTGGAGCGCTGTGATGCGAAGATACTCATCACGCGTGGCATTCAGTGCACTTGTGCTCCCGCCCCACCCCCTACACCACAGGATGGTTGGAAATAATTCTAAAAATCGTCCTCATAACATTATTTTACTATTGTTTGATTTTTCTCCTATAGAGGGACAAGCCCGACTTAAGCTTATGCTTGTGGTTTTTTTTTCTTCTTCGACGGAACACCCCCGGGGCGGTGCGGGCGGCGCCAGCTGGCTCAGCCCCGCGCCGGCGGCGAGGGGCGCCGGCGAGGCGGCCGCGAAGCGGTCCAGCAGGCCTCCGCGCGCGCGGGGGGGAGCGCGCTGCGCTCGGAAGCGCGCGCGCGGCACTTCGCGGGCCGGATCGGTCGACGCGAGTCGAGAAGTCGGATCGAGCGCTAAGTCGGGCGTGTCCCACTACAGGGGGATGTTGGGCGAGAAAGAAACTGGCGAAGGACCCAACCATATGCAGCTGTGCGTACCGCAAGTGTGAATATCTTCTTCGGTAGCGATCCCTAGGGGGCCACGAAACGCATGAGGGCTGTACCGGGGCCTTCGGTGGGGTTCCCTGTGAAGCCACGAAACGTGCAAGGGGTGTGCTGACATTGGTGCTGTGGGCGCATAGGAACGCAGCCACTGGGGCCTTAGATGGAGTTCCCTGTGGGGCCACGAAACGTGTGAGGGGTGTGCCGAAATTGATGCGGTGGGCGCATTCGAACTCAGCCACTGGGGCCTTCGGTGCAGCTCCCTGTGGGGCGACGAAACGTGTGAGAGGTGTGCCGAAATGGGTGCGGTGGGCGCAATCGAACTCAGCAACAGGGGCCTTCGGTGGGGTTCCCTGTGGGGCCACGAAACGTGCAAAGGGTGTGCCGAAATGGGTGTTGTGGGCGCATAGGAACGCAGCCACAGAAAGCGTTCGGTGGGGCTCCCTGTGGGGCCACGATACGTGTGAGGGGTGTGCCGAAATGGGTGCGGTGGGCGCATGCGAACGCAGCCATTGGGGCCTTCGGTGGAGCTCCCTAGGGGGCCACGAAACGTGTGAGCGGTGTGCCGAAATGCGTGCGGTGGGCGCATGCGAGCGCAGCCACTGTGGCCTTCGGTGGGGCTCCCTGTGGGGCCACGAAACGTGTGAGGGGTGTGTCGAAATGGGTGCGGTGGGCGCATGCGAACGCAGTCACTGGGGCCTTCGGTGGAGCTCCCTGTGGGGCCACGAAACGGGACCACGAAACGTGTGAGGGGTGTGCCGACATGGGTGCGGTGGGCGCATGCGAACGCAGCCATTGTGGCCTTCGGTGGGGCTCCCTGCGGGGCCACGAAACGTGTGAGGGGTGTGCCGAAATGGGTGCGGTGGGCGCAAGCGAACGCAGCCACAGTGGCCTTCGGTGGGGCTCCCTGTGGAACGACGAAACGTGTGAGGGGTGTGCCGAAATTGGTGCTGTGGGCGCATGCGAACGCAGCCATTGGGGCCTTCGGTGGAGCTCCCTAGGGAGCCACGAAACGCTTGAGAGGTGTACCGAACTTGGCGCGGTGGGCGCATGCGAACGCAGCCACGGGGGCCTCCGGTGGAGCTCTCTATGAGGCCACGAAACGTGTGAGAGGTGTGCCGAAATGGGTGCGGTGGGCGCAAGCGAACGCAGCAACACTGGCCTTCGGTGGGGCTCCCTGTGGGCCACGAAACGTGTGAGGGAGTGCCAAAATGGGCGCGGTGGGCGCATGCGAACGCAGCCATTGGCCTTAGGTGGAGCTCCCTGTGGGACCACGAAACGTGTGAGGGGTGTGCCGAACTAGGTGCGGTGGGCGCATGCAAACGCAGCCACTGGGGCCTTCGGTGGAGCTCCCTGTGGGGCCACGAAACGTGTGAGGGGTGTGCTGAGATGGGTGCGGTGGGCGCATGCGAACGCAGCCACAGAAAGCGTTCGGTGGGGCTCCCTGTGGGGCCACGAAACGTGCGAGGGGTGTGCCGAAATGGGTGCGGTGGGCGCATGCGAACGCAGCCACAGTGGCCTTCGGTGGGGCTCCCTGTGGGGCCACGAAACGTGTGAGGGGTGTGCCGTGGGCGCGGTGGGCGCATGCGGACGCAGCCACTGGGGCCTTCGGTGGAGCTCCATAGGAGCCACGATACGTGTGCGGGGTGCGCCGAAATGGGTGCGGTGGGCGCATGCGAACGCAGCCATTGTGGCCTTCGGTGGAGCTCCGCGGGGGCCAGGAAACGTGTGAGGGGTGTGCCGAAATGGGTGTGGTGGGCGCATGCGAACGCAGCCACTGGGGCCTTCGGTGGGGCCCTTGTGGGGCCACGAAACGTGTGAGCGGTGTGCCGAACTAGGTGCGGTGGGCGCATGCGAACGCAGCCACTGGGGCCTTCGGTGGGGCTCCCTGTGGGACCACGAAACGTGTGAGTGGTGTGCCGAAATGGGTAGGGTGGGCGCATGCGACAACAGCCACTGGGGCCTTCGGTGGAGCTCCTGGTGGGGCCACGAAACGTGTGGGGGATGTGCCGAAATGGGTGTGGTGGGCGCATGCGAACGCGGCCACTGTGGGCTTCGGTGGGGCTTCCTGTGGGGCCACGAAACGTGTGAGGGGTGTACCGAACTGGGCGCGGTGGGCGCATGCGAACGCAGCCACTGGGGACTTCGGTTCCCCATGAGGCCACGAAACGTGTGAGAGGTGTGCCGAAATGGCTAGGGTGGGCGCATGCGAACGCAGCCATTGGGGCCTTCGGTGGAACTCCCCGTGGGGCCACGAAACGTGTGAGGGGTGTGCCGAACTTGGCGCGGTGGGCGCATGCGAACGCAGCCACTGGGGCCTTCGGTGGGGCTCCCTGTGGGGCCACGAAACGTGTCAGCGGTGTGCCGAAATGGGTACGGTGGGCGCATGCGAACGCAGCCACTGGGGCCTTCGGTGGAGCTCCCTATAGGGCCACGATCCCCGTGAGGGGTGTGCCGAAATGGGTGCGGTGGGCGCATTCGAACGCAGCCATTGGGGCCTTCGGTGGAGCTCCCTGTGGGGCCACTAAACGTGTGAGGGGTGCGCCGAACTGATGATGATGACGATGATGATGGTGACGGTGATGCTGATGATGGGGATGCTGATGATGGGGACAGGGAGCGGGGGCAGCGGGAGGAAGGACGCGGGCGCTGTCTGTTCAAAACGAGGACCCAACACCAATATGGTTAGGAAATACTCAAAAATACACCCCAAACGGGCAAGAACACAAAAAAAGCGTTATCCGACTACTTGTTTACTATTTTTGAACATGTCCCCTGTAATGGGACAGGCCCGACTTAAATCGAGCCCTTATGGGCGTCAGATCGGCCTCGGCGCCGAGTCGGAATCGGATCCGTATCGGCGGCGGCATGGTGCGCAACAGCGCCATGCAGGCATCGGACCGCCTCGGAGCGTCAGAATACCGTATACCAGGATCGGCATCGGGTCGAGCCGGCCGGAATCGATGTCGAACCGGCTCGAGCGGATCGAAGTGGGTCCTGCGCGGGCGAGAGACATCTTGTCATGCGTCCTCTGGCCTCCGTGTGCGCCGCTCGTGGGCGGGGAACGCACACACCACTTACATCCGTGGCCGAGCCGGCTGGGCCCCTGGGCCGCGACCCCACGGATGCAGGGCGCGTCTCACCGGGTGCTCCGCGCGGAGCGCACCCCCATGCGCCCGCGTCTCCGAGAGCATCCTGCCTGCTGTCTCCGCCCGGCCCGTCTTCTGCCCGCCCGCCCGCCCCGCCGGCCCGGGCCTCCCGCCGGGGCGTTCGTCGTCGGCTGCCTGCTTCTCTCCCCTCCTCGTCCCCTTCCGCCGGGCAGCGCAGCCTGCCCGGAACCGGCGTGGCGGCATGTAGGGCTTCGGCATGTGGATTAACTTTGACAGAAGGGCGCTGGAAGGGCATCCATGCCGCATGCCGTGCCCCCCACAGATGCGCAAGCGTGTCGCTACAGTGCACCGCGTGCTGCGATCCCCGAGAACATCAGAAGGTACCGACACCGCTACTGCCCAGAACTCTCCCGGGGCGCCTGCAGAATGTCGAGGCGTATCCTGCGGTGGCGACGAGGGCCTCCCAGGAGGCCCGAGACTGGGAAAGCGAGGAAAGGGGGAGCGGTACAAGCACCTTCTCCTCTTCTGAACCTCTTACCACGCTGGACGACTTCCCTCCCTCGCCTTGCCAGACGAAGAGGGTGTGTGGTTTCAGCGTCGAGCGGAGGCCTCAAGGAAGAGCGAGGCAGAGCGACACTGTGTGCGTGTGAAGACTCGGGCGGTTCCGCGGGGCTCCCGCGGAGGCCCTTCGGGGCCCTCCCGCCGCCCCAACTGGGTGCTCATTCGGGGCAGCCGCCAGAAATCCCTCCTGGAGACATCCCGGAGGAGCCTCTTGGGGGCCTCTGGGGGGCCTCTGGCAGGCCTCCTCGAGGACTCTCTGGAGGCCCCCAGGGCGCCCCTCGGGTGCCTCTCGGAGCCTCTGGGGGCCGTGCTGGCGCCAGGAGTGCTGGCGCTTCTTTACCTTTTCGATGGCTAGTGCTGCTGAGGACCCTTCTTGGCACAACAAGACTTCAGAACACCGTGCGCGGGCAGAGGAGGGCTCCAAAGGTCCCCCTGGGGGGTCCAAGAGAGCCTCAAGAGGTCCGCAAGAAAGCCCCGAAGGCCTCCAAAATTGCCCCGAGACGGCCCCAAGATGACCCAACTAGCTTGCTCCCAGCTCGAAAGATCCTCCAGGGCACTTATTATCATTAATGACACCTGGGCCTACTCAGGCTGATCCCGCTCTTCGGCTTGACGGCTGCTCCTCCTCTGTGTTGCCCCTACACGTGCCTGATCAAGGGGGCATCGTTTCTGGACGTGCTGGTGGTGACATGCGAGGCGTCACTCACTCGTCTGGGCTCATCGCAGATGTTTCTGCCAAGGCTCCGTACCGGAAGGTGCTCTACACCACGCGTGAGCGAGCCTCCTGGCTGCGGCAAAAGCACGGCTTCGCACCATCTACTGAAATAGCACTTGGAGGACCAGGGCGTGCGATGGAGCGGGGCAATGTTTTGCCAACTGGTCTGTGCATTCGGCCCCTCAGACGCATTCAGATTCGCACAGGCGAAACTGCGTGCGTTGCGAGGTCGCGATGGAGTTCGCCATCACACCATTGTGTGTTGACAATACCAACACAAATCGCTGGGAGATGCGTGAATAGATTTACCAGAACGACCGTTTCGGCTACACTGTCCACATCGTCAAACCTCGCAGCCTGAGCGCTCACGCAATGGACCCCGTTTTTTTTGAGGTCCCCTGCAAGGCAGCAGCCCTGGCTGCAGACGGAGGTGGGAGGGCGTCAGGGAAGGTCATCCCCCATGACGTATTCGTGTGTCTGCGGCAAGCGCAGCACTCTGCGTCGAGAGTTGTCAGTAACCGCAAAGACAGACTACAACACTAACTCTTCTCGTCCCTATGCTCTGAAGAGCGGTGACATGTGACACGCTATTTCACAGTGTAACGGTTGTATTATCGAGAGCCCTGGGAGCGAGTTATCACATATGACGCCTCTCCTCACCAGCTCACTCAACCTCCTTTCCCCGAACATCCTCCTCCTCCTCCTCCTCCTCCCTTCACTCCTCTTCTTCCTCTTCCTCCTCCTCCTCCTCCTCATCATCATCATCATCATCCGCCTCCTCGATCCCCCTCCCCTGGGGAAACCAGAAGGCGCCAATACCGCTGCTCCCTGGACCTCTCCCAGGGTGCTCTGACCAGAATCTCGAGGCGACTCTAGCCGTGGCGACGAGGGCCTCCCAGGAGACCCAAAAAGCAGAGCAACAAGGCAAGGGTGAAAGTATGGGTACGTGCTCCTACTTCGATCCTCCCCCCTCGCCTCCGCCTCCTCCACACGAGCCAGGCCCAGCCACGCAAGAGGTGCATCCGGCTGCGCGCCCCCGTAGGGCAGGGGGGACGGCGGCGGCCTATGGCCACGAATAGCTGCGCGTCGGACAGGCCGACGGCCTCGAAGGCCTGCGGCGGGGGCGGGGCGGGGGGTCTTCTGGCGGCGCGCGCAAGGGGCCAGGGGGGGGGGGGAGGGGGGAAGGCTTCTCAGAAGGAGGCTGCTTCTCACAAGGCCGGCGCCTTCCAAAGAGCAGGGGTGCTTCTAAGAAGCCTTTCCCCCTCCCCCCTGACCCCCTCTGCGCGTAGCCGACTCCTGGCGCGGCACCCGCCACGAGGGAGACGCCGGACACCCATCGGCGACCGACCGATTGACGACGGCGGCGACGGACGGAAGGCGGCGGCAAGGCCGACGACGACGACCACCACCACCACCACCGCATCACAGGCCCTTCTCTGACGGCCCCAGGGCCCGACGATGGGACCCACAGAGACCGAACACGGCGACAACCCTTGGGGCGTAACTCGGGCCTCCAGCGGCCAGTCAGGACGATCCGGGCACCCCGAGAAGAACACCCTCGACGAGGCGCAGCTGCTGGCGGGCATCCCGAGGCGAGGGAACCTCAAGTAGCGAACGAAAACATGCGAAAACCTGCAACAGGTGCGCCAAGATTCAACATTGCGACAAAACACAACATCTCGGAAAATCACGACCGAGGTACTAACACAAGCTTTCTGCAGTTCTCGAGCCGGATCGATCTGCGAGGGCCCCAGGGTTCGAAGCCTGGCGAAAGTGCTCGGTGTGAAAAACTGCAGCACCCAGATCTAAGAGCGGAGGCTGTGGGCCCCGCGCGCGAGGCTGGGTACCCCCGGAAATTCCTCGACCAGCCGTAGTTGAAGGCACCCCAAGGCTGGAGAGCCGCCGAGAACCGACAGAAACAGTACAGCAACTCAAGGCAGGGGGGGAGCCGCAAGCAGTGACCGAAAACGCGCGAAGAGCAGCAGCAAGCGAAGGCCGCCCCGGGCGCGAGGTAGCCGCCCTCAGGAGAGGCGATGTCCAGATCGAGGCGGCCCAGACGGAGACCGAGCACTCCCTGCGAACTGACTCCGCAGGCACGGACGCAGCATCCTACCAGGAGAGGCCAGGCCCAGAAAGACCGGGCGGAGGCCGAGCACCTCGTGCGGACCGATCCGCACGGACTGAGCCTATCCTGACGCCCCGCGGCACGGCGCCTGCACCAGCCACTCCAGCGCGTCCTGCCGCCGGGCGCCGTCGAGGCCCTGGGCGGGAGGCCAGGCTCAGCCAACGTCGACTCAGCTGACCTCCTCCTCCTCCTCCTCCAACGTCGAGATCGGCTCGCGTCGCACCGGCACGCCCGTCGGACTGGGCCGCAGCGGCACGGAGCCGCGATGGAACTGGGCCGGCCGCGCCAGGCTGCACGGCAGCGTCACGCCGGCCACCGGGCCGCGTCGGACTGCGGGAGCAATGCGGGGCCGAGTCGGAGCGGGCGGGCCGGAGCCGACACCGAAGCAGATCGATGGTGTCGCAGCAACGGGCCCCGGAGGGAGAGAGGGAAAGGGAGAGAGGGGAGGGAGGGGGGAGGCGAGGGCCATGATTTGCTGTCGGATGGGCCAGGAGGGCGGGTTGTCTGTGGTGGATTGTGCCCGAGGGGGTGCCATCTCCGTGACCGGCGGAAGTAGGAGGGGAGGGGAGGAGAGGGCGTGGGGCGGGAGGGGAGGGCGTAGGGAGGGAGGGAGTAGGAAGGGGAGGGCGTAGAGAGGTCGCCTTAGCGCCGCGCCCACTCGTGCTTAAGATTTGCAAGAGTTTCACGAATTGAGGGCGGGTCATTTTCCTAGAAAGAGCATGTTCTACCGCTGCTGGCGGAAAACCGGGAGGGGGTCACTACCGGTTCGAACCCCCCCCCCCTCCGGAAAACCAGGGGGGGTCACTACCGGTTCGAACCCCTCCCCCCCCCCAGTCCATCATCAAAAGGGGGGGGGGTCACTACCGGTTCGAACCCGCCCCCCCCTCGAAAACTGGAGGGGGTCACTACCGGTTCGACCCCCCCCCCCTCGAAAACCGGGGAGGGGTGCGGACAGTGGTGGGGACGGTGGTGGTGGGGACTGTGGTGAGGGGCGGGACAGTGGTGGGGAAAGTGGGACAATGGTGGGGAGGGTAGTGGTGGGGACAGTGGTGAGGACAAGGGTGGGAGCAGTGGGGACAGTGGGACAGTGATGGGGACGGTGGTGGTGGGGACAGTGGTGTGGGAACAGTGGGAATGTGGTGGAAACAGTGGGACAGTGGAGGGTACAGTGGTGGTGGGGACGGTGGTGAAGGCGGTGGCGAGGACGGCGGTGGGACAATGGGACAGAGGTACAGTGGGCACAGTGGTGGGGACAATGGGGACAGTGGTGGGAACAGTGGGACAGCTCAGTGGGACAGCGGAGGAGTCAGTGGGACAGTGGGGACAGTCGGGATAGTCGGGCAGTGGTTGGGGCCGTGGAGAAAGTGCGGGGAGTGGAATCGTGGTGGGAACAGTGGTGGGGACAGTGGGGACAGTGCGACAGTGGTGGGGGCACTGGTGGGGACAGTAGGGACGGTGGTGTAACCAGTGGGGACAGTGGTGGTGAGGACAGTGGCGCTGGGAACAACAGTGGGGGATGTGGTGCGGACGGTGGTAGGGACCGGGAGTCGTTTGCTGGCGGTGATGGGGGGGGGGGGAGGGGTTCGAACCGGTAGTGACCCCACTCCAGTTTTCGAGGGGGGGGGGGTCGAACCGGTAGTGACCCCCCCCTGCTTCCGTTGGGGAGGGGGGGGGGAGGGTTAGGGGAGGGGGGGGGGGGTTGCCACGGGAGGGGAAAGGGTGGGGGGTCCAGGGGGGGGGGGGGGGGGGGGGATTTTCGGAGGGGGGGGGGGACCCCTGGGCTCCGGAGGAAGAGGGGGGGAATTTTCACAGTAAAGCGGCGGTGGATCACGCTCTCTCTAATGTGGCTATCACCTTAGCGCCGCGCGCATTTTGTCAACGATTTACCAGAGCTTCACGGATTGAGGGCGGTTCGCTTTTCTAAATATCGCTCTCGCCTTAGCGCCGCGCACATTCGTTAAAGATTGCAAGAGTTTCACGAGTTCCCATGGTCAACGTAACGGAAATCGCGTCTTGGAAAGATTCAGGACTACGATGGCGCAACTGCTGCGCTGATTCGCGGTGTCGATGTCTCAAGAATTTCGTTCTGGAACGATTCCGGATCGTCAAACCACAACAATCAGGTTGAACCGTGGCGGTCGAGTCCCGAGAAGAATGTGTTGGCATGCTTCTAGGTCTTCAAAAGGTTGTCTTCCGACGAGACACTCCCTGTGGAAATGAACCGCTGTAGGGGCCTATGAAGAGGGAGCTCGGAGGAAAGGTTTTGTTCCAACATCTTTGATGACTCGTGGGCTTGCACTTGTCCTCCTCCTCCTCCTCCTCCTCCTCCTCCTCCTCCTCCGCCCTCCTCCTCCTCCTTCTCCTCCTGCGCTACTGCCTGAGGCGCAACCGAAGTTCACTTCAGCACCTCTGAAAGAAAAGAAAGAGAGACCCGCCTTGTCCTCGCCTGTGTCAGTCATGTGCTAGGACACGTCGGGGTGGCGATCTCTCCTGGATACGTCGAGTCAGGCCATCGTTCCACCCCTTTGGGGAGGTTCCCAAGGTCAATGGCCTTGAGGGTGGCCCGACCGTCCTTCGAAAGGCGTCGATCACACTTCCTGGCGAGTCGGACGAATTTCTCTGCCCCCTGTGCTCCGCACAAGCGGCAAAACCAAAGGCCTCGGAAGCTCTCGATCCGGTGCGAGTCATCGACCACAGACGGCCGCCCAGGGCACGATGAGGTCGAGAGCTCCTCCAGGGATCTCTTCCCCACAATGACTAGGCAGCGTGCACATTTCCAGCCCTTGGAGGTCTGGAATATACGATGTGAAGAATCCCTCATGAGCTGAGGGGTCTGTTGAGCCTTGGCCTTTGCCTTGGCTACAGCTCTAGCATGGATGTCACCTTTCAAAGTTGTCCCATACAAATCTCTAGAATTCTTCGCAACCTCCAGGGCAACTAAAGTCAAACGTTTTTGAACACGCCAGGCCAACTTATCGGCCTCTTGAACTTTCCCTACCAAACTGTAGGGGGGTTTGGCTTCCTCCGCGGCTTTGTCGGCCAACTTGTCGGCCTGGTCATTGGCAAACCAGTGCTCCAGAGGGAAACCAGGGCCCGCGGCCGTACGCTCAAGGTGACTCTTGACCTTGACTAGAGACAACGTGCCAGGGCGGTCTGCGACCGCCTTCCAGTATTCAGCCCAAAGATCTGCATTATTTCTGTACTTATACCCAGGGCCATGTTTGGCCCCTTGGAAAACATATGCTGCGTCAACTACATACGTGGCATCCCCAGCTGTGGCTTGGAGAGCTCTGACAACTGCTAGCAGCTCGGCTCGGGGGACGGTCTGTCTCCAGCCTGCCGTGCTCCCACGGCAAGAGGCTAGGACAGACTCACCAAGGCAGATGGCGAAGGCCCAACCAACACGGCGCAAACGAGGATCCGATCCGTGCTCTCCCCCCGAGCCGTCACCGCCTATTACACATCCTACTGGAAGTAAATACCTCTGCCCATCCTCAGGCCACTCTCCCTCTCTGCACATAACTTCTATAGGGAGAGGGGTGTCCTCAGGCGGCATCGTCCACAATATCGGAACTAGGCCTCGAAGCCAGAAGCATGGGTACGTCTCAGCCCCTACCTTGGCTTGCTCGCAGAGGCGGTTGTCTTCTTCTAAATCGGGAATGTCTCTATTGAAGGGGCATTCCCAAAGCTGATGATATAACGTTTCATTGGGTGCGCCACATCTAGGACATGCCGTGCTGCCTATCCCTGTGTTCTGGAAACGTCGCTGGTTGGGCCACAAGGCCCCTTGGGAAACCATCTCCAGAATGGCAGCCCTATGGCTTAAACCTTTATTGCGTAAAAACTTCAGATGGGCCCAAGTCACAGTTAAATCCACCCCGTACTCAACCCCCGAGCCCGAGAAATGCTGGCTGGCTTGGGCCCATATACTCTGCTCCAGGGAAGATCCTACTTCGAAGTCGAGCCTGTCGAGGCCCTCAGCTCCTTCAAAGCTAAACCTGAGCCCACAGGGAATGGTCCACTCCCCTGGCGTGTTGGGTGTCCAATTCATATCTAAAAGAGTGGCTTGCACAGCCGCCATGTGCCCCTTGACCTGCAGCCAGCGGTGGTCCGACTCCCTCAGCTTCGCCAGGGACTCGTCCCAGGCTTTGTCGATGGCTGCTCGCCACTCGGGGATCCTAGGGAGATGTTCCTGCCAGGCCTGCAAAAGTTCAAGAGGTCCCCAAAAAAGGGGGTCACTGCGTTTCCCAAGACTAATCCTAATGGCAGTGGTTGCGCAACCACCTGCCCACTTACTACCGCACATGGCTGAGACTTTCGCCCGAAGCTTCTTAAGATTCGTGGGCGCTAAGCCCATGGCAACGGCTCCCCAGGACACCTGCGGCTTGTAGCCAGTGTTGGCTAGCTTTTTGGCCGCCTTCACGCTTTTGCCCAGGACTCGAATCGCAACAGCTCGTTTAGCTCCCTTCTTATGTCTACCTTTGATGGTCCCTTGCGTCCTGGAGGCAGTAGATACATCCACTCCAAGATCACGCGCCGAGAGTTCCACTTTAATAGGTAACTGCAACTCCTTGATACGCTTCCGCAATGCCAACCGCACTGACGGAGAACTCGCGAGGCCGACTGATTTCTTTGAAATTCGCAATCCTTTACTGTACATGCCCGTCGTGAGTTGGATGGCTACTTGCGTAGCCTGGTCCACTACTCCTTCTGCCGTGCCTATGTTGAGTTGCGCCAAGTCGTCGACCCAGCTGCCGATGGTATTTTGGGGAGGAGGATACGATCGATGAATATTGTCTAACATGTCCCACAAGTATATTCTGGACCAGGCTACGCTTTGCATGCAACCAGCGATAATAGAATGGTTGACCTGGATGCTGTCCGAGAGCATTGTGCCAACCGCGAGCCACCTATCAGCCATGTGCTGCAGCATGGCAAGGTAAAAGGGCACTAGGGGGTACTCCAGATTCCCAGCTAAGACTGCCAGTTGCTCGCCCTGGATAAGATCATAAAACTTCTCTGCGTCCCAAAGAAGCTGCACCCAACTAATATTCAAAAGCCCACACGTTTCTGCTTTAAGTTGCCTTAAAACCGCTGCTCGTAACGGACTGCTTCCTTTTACCGCTGAATCCCAGA